TTTCCATACTCATGGTCGAAATCAGCCAGCATTTGTACTACTTGGCTAATGTTTGGTTTTATTAGTACAATGTCTAGGGCTATTGTGATATCACAGCAGCAAGTGCATTTGCCTTGCACCCGGCCAACCTGGGTTCAATTCCCGGCATCCCATATGGTCCCCTGAGCATCACCAGGAGAAACTCCTGAGTGCAGAGTCAGGAGTAGCCCCTGAGCACCACGAGCTGTGACCCAAAAAGCAAAAAAAAAAGTCAAAGAATGATGTCAACAGTGAAGCAGAGGAGTTGTAGTTGCCAACCGTCTATCTTTACTTACATTCCTTCCCATTCCAGTTGCCGTATTACATTCTCGAGGATGGCATTGAAGAGTTTTGGTGAAATGGTATCACCCTGCTGAATTCCTCTCTTGACGTTGATGATCACTTCCTTGTAGAATGGTGAGAGCCTGGTGGTGTATCCGTAATATAGCTCACGGAGGATCCTGATGTATTGAGTTCGAATGCCCTGTTTGGCTAGGGCTTCGGTGACCACTTCAGTCTCAACAGAATCAAAGGCCTTCTTTCAATTGATGAACGTTAGACATAGTGGCATCCTGAACTCCCGAGAAACTTCAATGAGCTTGGTTACCATGTGGATATGGTTGATCATGCTGAATCCTTTTCAGAACTCGGCAAGTTATGCTTCATCTAGTGTTCTGCCAGTCCTATTCAGGATGACTCGAGTCAATAGCTTGTAGATAACAGACAACAGGCAGATCAGGTGATGGTTGCCAATGTTGTGGATGTCTCCCTTCTTGTACAATAGAATGGTTCAGCTGGTTTTCTATTGGGATGAACCCTGCATTCAGACTTGTAGTGTGTGAGAGCTAAGCCAATGTATTGATTAGTACTGATGGCATATTCTTCACTACCCAGCCGCCTCCATGCTCCAGGCTGCTTTCCTGACCACTCGGGCCAAGCCTCACGCATGAGTGAAGCTCCACAGAACCAGGCAAAGCAGAACTTTGTGACCTTGGACTCCAGACTTTATATTCATATCATACTCCCCAAATCATCGTCCTTTTTTTAAGTTAAATTCTTTATATAGAGATTATGAAGAATGTAATAAAAGAATAACTCATTCAAGACAGAACATGGGCTTGTCTGGAGAAGAGCTAGGAGTGAAATCTGAGTTTGGAGATAGAGGGGCAGAGGAGTTTCATAAGATTTATCCTAAGCTGCCCCCATACGGAGCTTTATACCTACCTAAAAGTCACTGCATTGCTGTAGCCTTGTCAAGAAGAAGAGCTTGAAACTTTTGATGATCTACCTTTATGAGCTTCTCACACCTTTAGTCCAACTGGAACATCTTTCCAAAGGGCCAGGATCCTATGGGCCTGTGCTGGTGTCAATTAAAGTCTTATCTGCCCTGACTTCTTGTGGCCAAAAAGTGGGTCTGCCCTTTAATATTTGATCGTTTAGGACTAGTGACAGTTCTTTCTTCAGTCTCTTCGTGACTGAATAAAGAACTAATGAATTCATTACCAATATCTACCGTTGTTCTTTTTAAAAAAGGTACATGAAAATAGAATGGACCCATAGAATAGCTGGTAGAGTGTTTGCTTTGCACACGGTGTACCAGGTTCAATTCCTAGCATCCTATCTGGTCCCCAGTGCACTGTCAGGAGTAATTTCTGAGGGTAGAGCCAAAAGTCAGGCCTGAGCATCACCTGCTGTGGCTATAAAGCCAAAGATATCTAAAAATATACAAACCACTAAAATAAGATAAATATAACGATGAAGAAAGAAACTGAAAGAAATGTTCTTCATGTGTTGATGTTAAATTGGCATTTACGTGTGTAGGGAGTGAGACTGCGTTGTGTTGGCCACTCTGCCTGGCAGGGCACAGGGATGGTTCCTACCTCTGTGCTGATGTGTAATTGACGGACGTGTCAGATAGGAAAACTGGGCTGCCCTTATGTGAGGCAAATGCCTTAACCCAGTATTGGCTCCCCAACTGTCTCAAATTAGGAGTCTTAAAAACGTAATCATACAACTTACCTGGCGACATGGAATTTTGAACAACACGGAGAACCTCAACACCCTAATTCCAAACAAAACAATTAGAAAAGCAGGTAATTTTAGATTACTTGAAGCTGATAAACTTCTAACCAATATTCACCTTAAAAAACGTGAACATAGAGCAAATCCACGGTGAATATACTATGACGGATGGCAGAGATTGGAAGAGGAATAGAACTTGACCCACAAATAAAAGCAATTTTATATCAGTATGTTCATCCGGAAGAATGAGAGTTTTCACAGAGTTTCACATCACGAGGTGCAGGCCTTGCATAAAGAACACTCAGTTTCGATCCATGGCACTGTGTAGTCTCCCCCTGAGTATGATGAACAGAGATCATCAATAGAGAGTTCTGAGTCCCAAGCCAGGAGTACCATTTTACCACCACCAGGTGTTATTACAAATGACCTTTACTCATATTGTGACACTGAAGCACTGTCTTCCCATTGTTCCTAGATTTGCTCGTGCAGCCACCTGTAATGTCTCCATTGAGAGACTTGTTATTATTGTTTTGGCATATCTAATACGTGGCAGGGAGCTTTCCAGGCTCAGCCGTGCAGTTGGGATACTCTCGGTAACTTGCCAGGCTCTCTGAGAGGGGCAGTGGAATCGAATGGGGTGGGCCACTTGTAAGGCAAATGCCCTACTGCTGTGCTATTGCTCCAGCCCTTACTCATATTATACCATGAAATTTGCCTCCGTCCATGATCCAGATGAATGCAATCCTTGAGGCTGTGCTACATGCTGTCAGAGGAATAGAACGAACCAGATCCTCCAGTCCTTTCTCAACTTCTTTCTGTAGATGAATCAGTCAGTACCTAACATGACCCAAATTGAGTTTCTCTTCCGGCTGACAAAGGATTCACAAGTGAAAACTCCTTCTAGGAAAGTGGAGTGAAGGATGATTAATTGCAGGTGTATTGTGGATAAAATACAGGCAAATAATCATGTGGGGGCAACCATTGATGAGGTTTTCCTCTACTAAAGAACATTACTTAGGGGCTAGAGCGATAGCACAGTGGGTAGGGCTTTTGCCTCTCATGCGTCCAACTCGGGTTCGAATCCAGCATTCGAATTGGTCCCCTGAGCACTGCAAGGAGTAATTCCTGAGTACAGGAGTAACCCATGTGCATCGCCAGGTGTGACCCAGAATGATTGAAAAAAAAAAACTACTTAGTCACATTCTCTAATGCTGCCCGAAGCAGGACTGTGGAACATCTCTGAGGCTCTGAGGTGCAAAGACTGAGCACTTTAGGGTGGGAGGGAAAACAATCTGAGCATTTTGGAGCTATGCAGGAACTTGGTCAGGTCCACCAGCCTGCCCAGTTGGGCGTTGGCACTGGTGCCCATCTCCTGGCAGGATTACTGGCACACAGGACAAGGGAATTTGTCCTGCAGGTCCTTCCATGACATGTGGATGCAGGAGTCACAGAAGTTGTGGCCGCAGTCCATGGTGACGGGGTCATTGAGGTAGTCCAGACAGACGGGACAGATAAGCTCTCTCTGCATTTTGGCCAAGGTTGCCAACACTTCCATTCTCAGGTGTGGGAAAGGTAGGACTGGGGTGTTTTTCCTCACAAGGCAGAGCTGCTTGGGCTCTCTCTTGCCAGAAAGGAGAAAAAGATATCTATCTGACGAGGCTCAAATAAATCATTTCTGAGTGGGGGAACTGCATAAATATGTGACTGCAGATTCATAATTCTGTTTGTAAATGTAGCAATATATTCATAAGAAATTCAGATCTTTTTTTGTTTTTATAATTGATTGTTTTATTATTTGGTCCTCATCAATCTGAGCTAAGTGGCTAATCCTTGCTCCATGCTCAGAGGTCACTGCTGAAGTGTTACAAAATGAGGAAAACTGGCTAAATACAGATATTCTCTAAGAATATGCAAACTCTGCCAAGGACCAAGAAAAATGTCCCAGGGCTAGAGAAAAGCACCTAGTAAAACTGGACGTGAAAATTTTGCAATGTCTTTGAAAATAACTTTTTAAAGAAAGGAAGTATAACTTCTTCGCCAGTAAATTTTAATTTTAATAGAAATGGACATAAAGATATAAAAGTATTGGTATTATATTACAAAGAGTTACAAAATGGGAACGGTTCTTCCCCACCAACCTTAAGCATCGACACCTGATGCAAAGAATTCCAAATTTACAAGACCAGGAGCTATCCACATGAGGCAGCAGAGAAGCCCTTGGTGTGCTCATCCCTCCTCAGTCCCGCCAGCGCCCACAGAGAGAGGGGCGCAGTCAGGCCCCACGCAGAAGTACAGCTTGAGCTCTTGAGCAAAGGGCTCAGTGACCAAATGCAGGTGAGACCTGTCGGTGGCGTTGTAGAAGGAAAGCTGGCCCAGCTCCCAGTCCAGGTAAACATGGATGGCCTCGGGCTGGTCCCTGAGAGCCAGAGGCACGGCCCCTGCGCTCATGGCCAGGTAGTCGCAGTCCTGCAGCTGCAGCGTCCAGCATCTCTTGGGAGCTGCCAGGGGCCGTGAGGTCTGGGCAGAAGGGGCAACGCGGCACACACCCACGGCCCACTCGGGCTTGGCCCCCACCTGCACCTCCCAGTAGTGGCGACCAGAGGCGAAGCCCTCCCAGCCCATGACCACCAGTGGGGCGTAGTCATCCCAGGACCCGGGTTCCCCATCCCCTTTGGGCCTCTCCCTCACGCAGGTCACCCACTGGAGGTCCTGGGAAATGCACAGGCTGGGGTGGGCCGTGTCGGGGTCCAGGCTGATGCTCTCCTGGAATCTCCGGATGATGCTGTCTGAGCGCGGAGCACAGAGGAGGGAGGCTGTAGGCTACCGGCCTAAAGTGAAGGGACTGCAGGGCCTGGGCCTTCAGGCCCACCTAGCGCTACTGCAGGCTCCTCACCCCCCTCAGCACCATCTTCTCGAACATCAAGCTCTGCTCTGCTCCGCCAACTCCTGTCTGAGGTCTTTCAGTGCCCAGGTGTGGTCAAATAGGCCTCCAGGTTGGCCCTGAACTGCTGCTGCAGGCGTTTGTCCTCTTCTGCCAGCCTGCAGAGCACGTCCTCGTGCTCACACTCCACAAATTGGGTGAGCTGCTCAAATTCCGAGGCCACCTGACTCCTGTACTTTTCCACGTCCACTCTCAGCTGCAGGAGTTTTCTGTCTTGGGCCACTTCTCGCTTCTGCAGCTCTACCAGCTGCTTCTTCAGGGTCTCGATACAGCCGCTGAGCTTCTGTCTGTGATGAGCCTCTGCCTTGCCCACAGACCTGATGTGGTGGCTCTGGTGGGCAGGGCCCTGGGCGCACAGGTGACACACCAGCTCCTGGTCATCCTCACAGAAGAGGCTCACTTTCTGCCTGTGCTCCTCACACCTGCTCTCCTCTGCTGGCGCCACCTTGCTGCTCCCGGATCTGTGCAGGAACTTGGCCAGGACCACCAGCCTGCTCAGCTGGGCGTTGGCACTGACACCCTTCTCCTGGCGGGATTACCGGCACATGGGACAAAGGAATTTTTCCTGCAGTCCTTCCATGACATGCGGATGCAGGAGTCGCAGAAGTTGTGGCTGCAGTCCATGGTGACGAGGTCATTGATATAGTCCAGACAGACAGGACAGATGAGGTTTGGCTGCATTTTGGCCAGGGCTGCTGACACCTCCTCCATCCTCGGGTGTGGGAAGGGCAGGTCAGGGGAGATTTTCATCAGAAAGTTGAAACCCTCAGGCTCTCTCCTGCCAGGAAAACAGTTACACACTCAGTCATTCTCCTGAACTCAATATGGCTTTCTAAGGGATGGGTCTCTCTGATGACCAGAACACTTCTAGACTCAAGGGCTTCTCCAAGTGTACTCTCCTAAGACCAAACGAACTGCTCGAGCCTCATGCATTAGGGTTCCCTTTTCAAATAATATTGCCTCATTGCATCATTGAGGTAGTCCAGGCAATCGGGACAGATGTGGTCTGGCTGCATTTTGGCCAGGGCTGCCAACACCTCCTCCATCCTTGGGTGTGTGAAGGGCAGGACTCAGGTGTTTTTTTTTTTCTCACAAGATCGAGACTAGCAAAAAAAAAAAAATACATATATATATATATGTATATCATACTCAGACCTCTGTCCTGACTTCAATTAGCTTTCTCGGGGATGCCCTTTCTGATGAGTAGCACCCTGGACTCAAGGGCCTCCCTAAGTAGTCTCCGGCGATCATATCAGCCACTAACACTTCATGCTTTCCTTCCCCCTTTTCAAGTGATATTTTTCCACCGACAACTACTCTCTCTCAATAAAGAAATGAGTCCATTCAAACCAGATAAAAGGGAACTCAATTTTGAGATTTAGTATAAACAACATATTACCAGATAGTCAAAAGGTTAGACCCTGCACAAGGATAGGACCAAGGAAGTTGTGTCCCCTTATCCCTTCCCCTCACCCCTTAATAATAGTAAATTCCCGGATTAATTGCTACTCAACTTGCTCCTGACTCTGGGTGGCGCAATGCCTGTGCTGCTGCTGAGCTACTCCCCTTGCAGGATGCAGACTCAGGCTGGCACCAGCACATTGTGTGCCCTGCACTCAGCACCGTGTTTATATACATCACAGGGTGGGGTTGGAGAGACCCACCCAGGAATGACTGATGGGAGGAAAGGCGGGGCTGGCCTTTGAAAGGATTTTTAAAGGGGAGATTGATTTCCCCACACTAGTCAGAATATGTAGAACTACACATGCAGGAAACCTGGATTCATTTTACAATCTACTTATTGTATGAAGTAAACCCTTCCTTTACTCTCATCCCCAGTTCTATTCTTTCAGAGAAAAATAGAAATGCTCTATGAAGTAGAAATAAAGCGCTGTTGGATCAGAGACTTGGTAGCGCCGTAAGGTGTTTGCCATGTGATCCCTGCCTTAGTTCCAGAGTCAGGAGTAGACCCCTGAGCACTGCAGGGTATGTCTGCAGAACAAAATAAACAGAATACACAAAGAACCGGACTGTGCTGCTCTCTCTCCCCAGGCAGTGTAGCTGCTCCCAGTATTTGTTCTTTTCAAACTTGCTGTGCTGCAAGTGAGGTCATTGAGAACATTTTCCCTCTAACATGTATGAATTATCTCCTGACTAAATCCAAAATTTCTGGTGGTCGGATTGCTACTGGAACAGCATATGCCAGAAACTTGACTATAAATAAATCGTAAATCTTGGCCTCCAAATAAAGAGCTTAAACAATCAATCAAATAAAGAAATTTTAAATGGCATTCATTACTCTCCCCAGCTCACTGATTGCTACATTGTTCATTTACCTAATTACCTATCTGCACACAGGAAAATCTTCAGAACTATCTTTGAATTTTCTCATTTCAGAACTTTACCCAGTCAACAAGAGCAAACCCTGTGCTCAGTACCATTAACCTTTTCCTGCTGAGACCATGCCCTGGCCTGTGCCCTCTGCCTGCTCCTTATCCTCAGATCTCCTTTGGGGCTGCCTCAGTCTGAGTGGAAAAGCTTTGTTCTGATGAACACTGGAAAGCTGTTGAAAGATAGAAAGGCTGAGGCAGCGCCATGAAGAACCGGCTCGGTGAAGAACTTGGCCCGACTAAGCCTAAGTTTTGGTTCCCTAAACTTGCGTTGCACTTTCCCTGAAATACAGTGGAAAGGTCAGCAGAAGAACTAATTGAACATGATGCCAGCCAGAACATCTAATCTAATCAGACCCACCATGTCTTCATGTAACCTCGCCTCCACCCAAGTAACCTCAGCCTTCACCCAATCAGAAGTTACCAAGTAATAGAAAGTCCCCTAGACCATTGCCAATGGAATGCGCCCGCTATACAACTGTAATGTATAGCAACCTTTGTTGCTTGGGGCAGCTCGTTCAGAGTAAGCTACTGTGTCAGTGAGCCTGATGGAGGCCATAGCCCAGGTTAGGCCTAGCTCGAGCTAATCAATAAAGATACTCTTATAGTTGCATCAGAGTCAACTCCTAGGTGGTCTTTCGAGAAACTGAGTCACAGGTTAACACTGATATCTGGGTGGTAACATTAAAAGGATACTTTAATCCCATTGCAAAACTTAAGGCCAAATGCGAAGATAATTCTGAATTCTTAGCTTCCGGACTTCTTATCATTTGTATCACTTGTCATCCTGTTACTCTTTGATTGCTCGAGAGAGGGCACCAGTAATGTCTCCATTCGTTCCTGTCACGTGCTAGTGTAGCCCAACGACATCTGCTTGCTCCAGGAACACGAAGAACCTCAAACCAGTTGGTTCAGGGTTTTGATGAAAAAGTATGACCATCTCTTAGGTAGGTGGCCATGCATCCTTTTGCCATCCCGTGGAATTCAGTCAGTAATGGCTCTAGTCCACTGGTCATCTCTAAATAAAATTACATGTCCAGGTCATCTGAATTTCGACGCCTTGGCAAAGGAGAAAGCATCCCTGATTCTTGATCATCGATGGTGTTTGGAACTCTGGATTCCTTCTCTCACTTGAGTGAAATGTGATATTCCAAGCATAGTTCTTTCAACTCCTCCTTGGGAGACACAAATAGCTTTCTCATCCTGTTTTCGTAGGGTCCAGGTCTCTGAGGCATAAGTTAGTGCAAGAAGAATGGTGGAGTCGAAAAGATGTGCCCGGAGCTGGAGGTTCTTTATCTTCTTAACAACTTCTATGACGCTCTGGAAGGTGTTCCACACGGCTCTCTTCCTCCTGCGCAATATTGGCACCAAGTCATTCCTCATGTTGTGTTCTCGAGCCAGGTACACATAGCTGCTACATTCGGAGATGTTTGTTCCATTGAGAGCAAATGGAACATCAGGACTAGTTCATTTTTCACATTGTTTTTGTGAGATTCACTGCAGTCTGACCTTTCCACACTCACGGCTGAAGTCGGTCAGCATTTGTGCTGTTTGGCTAATGTTTGGTGTTATTAGAATGATGCCATCAGTGAAGCAGAGGTGTTGTAGTTGCCGACAATTTATCTTCACTCCAATTTCTTCCCATTCCAGTGTCGCATGACGTCCTTGAGGGTGGGACTGAAGAGTTTCGGTAAAATGGTATCACCCTCCCAAACACCTCTCTTAACCTCGATGATCACTTCCTTGTAGAACGGTGAGATCCTGGTGGTGAATCATTAATACAGCTCAAGTAGGATTCGGATGTACTGAATTTGAATGCCCTTTTTGGCTAGGGCTTCAAGACCATGTCTGTCTCAGTAGAATCAATGGTCTTCTTTAAATTGATGAACGTTAGACAGAGCGGCATCTTGAAGTCTCTTGATATATCAATGAGTTTGGTCACTTGTGGATATGATCGATTCTGCTGAATCAGGACTTCTCATACAATTACATAAAATAAGTTTCAGTGTCATACATTTGAATTGAAATGTGAACAACAGTCAAAGGCATCTGTTTTTACCACTGGAGGAGATTTCATGCAAGTAAATGTCCTCTTTACACCTTTGTTATTTTTTAGGCTCTATCTGGCTGTGTTCATTGTCACTTGACACAGCCCCCAGAGAACTGTGCAGTGCTGAGATTGAATCTGGGCCTCCCATAAGCATTCACTTAGTTCTTTTAAGTGTCTGTGCACTGTATCACTGTAGTACTGTCCTTCCGTTGTTCATTGATTTGCTCGAGCGGGCCCAGTAACATCTCCATCGTGAGACTTGTTGTTACTGTGTTTGGTATATTGAATACGTCATGGGTAGCTTACTAGGTTTTCCTGTGCAGGTGAGATACTCTAGGTAGCTTGCCAGGGTCTCAGAGAGCGGCAGAGGAATCGAACTCAGCTTGGCTGGGCTGGCTGCGTACAAGGCAACCTACTGCCCTATCTGCATGTTGTCTGTTGTCTACAAGTTATTCACTCAAGTCATCCTGAATAGGATTGGAAGAAGACTAGATTAAGGACAACCGTGCAAGCAAGTCAGATTCCAAAAAGGATTCAGCATAATCGTCCATATCCACATGATAACCAAGTTCATTGAGGTTTCTCAGAAGTTCAAGATGCAGCTCTTTCTAATGTTCATTGATTTAAAAAAGGCTTTGATTCTGTTGACTGAAGTGTCATCGAAGCCCTAGCCAAACAGGGCATTTAAACTCAATACATCAGGATCCTCTGTGCGCTGTGTTGTGGATTCACTACCAGGATCTCACCATTCTACATGGAGGTGATCATTGACTCAAGAGAGGGGTTTGGCAGGGTGATTCCATTTCACCAAAACTCTTCAGTGCCACCCTCAAGAATGTCAGGTGACAACTGTAATGGGAAGGAATGGGATTGAAGTTAGACAGTCAGCAACTACACCGCCTCCGCTTCACTGATGACATCATTCTAGTAACACCAAACATCAGCCAAGCAGTACAAATGCTGGTTATTTCGACAGTGAGTGTGGAAAGGTCGGAATACAGCTAAATCTCACGAAGACAATGTTTATGAGAAACAGTCTCATTCCTGATGTTCCATTCACTCTCAACGGGATGAACATTTCCAAAT